GCCGGTGACGAGGGCTGTCCCAGTCTCAATCGAGTGGGAGCGTTGACGTTCAAGGAGCAATAACGCCGACCGAACCTGGAGAAAATTTGGTTGGGGCTGTTGAAATTGCATCCAAGATGTTTGGGCTTGGAGATCGTCTGGTAAACCCCGTAAGAGTTGGAGCACCAGCTGTGATTCAGAGACCGGGGCGTCGACGTCATCTAGCCAATCTGCGATGTTCCGGAGAGTTTGACAATATGTGGCCATGGGCATAGTTCCTTTGACCGTAGTGCGGAATTGGTGTTCCAATTGCATAGCTCGAGCCGGTTTGTTGTCGTGGAAGAGATCATGAATCACCCGCCAAAGTTCGGAGGCCGTTGAAGTGGAGGAGATGACCAAGTCGGAGACCTCATCGGTCACCGTGGAGAGAATCCAACCTTGAAGCAAGGCATCAAGTTGAAACCATTTGTCGTCGTTGGCGGAAGAGGGGATCTTAGAGCCGGAGAGAAACCCGTGGAGATTAAACCGTCGAACAAGGAGCAAAAAAAGACGGCACCATTTTTTGTAATTAGGTTGAGAAAAACTCAATTGTATGGGGACGTGAAGCTTGATGTTAGATATAGCCGTGAACGCCAAGTGAGGAGAATTTGAGGAGGTGGTGGAGGGAGATTTGTCCGTCGTCTTGTCGGAGTCCATGAGGGGGGAGAGAGAGAGAGACGACGGAGGAGGAGGGTGGGGCTGCTGCGGCAGTAAGGCCGAGAGAGAGAGAGAGAGCAGCGCCGAGGGAGAAGAGCCGAGAGAGAATTGGGGTTTGGGAATTAGGGTTTTGGCTCCGATACCATGAAGAATGAATATTTTCAATGATTAAAAGTGTAGGAGTACAACCGTGTATATAGACAGGACGGGACTCCTAATACGAGTAGAAAACCTATACAAAAGGTAACTACCAATAATACAATGATACAATAATAAATACATTAAATATACTTAACATAAATATATATGGTAAATATATTTAACAGTAGGGAGGCTGTTTCCAAGAGAGACCCGGCTCAACCTGCACAAAAATATGGAAGGGAACACAGTATAACACGCATAAAGCACCAAGTACAATGAAATGAAAGGCCTGCAAACAATAGCAAAAGATTCCAATCAAACACAACACACTACAAAACAACATCTACAGCACCGAGCTCCTATCCAGCTACTCTAATCCTAGTCAATTGGTCCGGGGAAAATGTGCCCAAATTAAAGGTCATAAGATTGAATCCCAAAAGCATTATTCAATTAAATTTTATCTCTCTAACATGGATGCAAATCAACAAACAATTGGATTTAATTTTTTAAGTCTAAGGAAAATAAGATTCCTAACTCTCCTACGATCGTACTTATGCAAGCCCTTCATTAAGAAGAAAGAACATATATAACTATAATTACGGTGTCAGAAAATATCATTCTTCCTTATAACGTTCTGAAAAACGGCATTTCTGTATACTCATTCGTACCACAATATAGCACTCTTCGAACAATGTGCAAAACTCTAATGTTTTTATAATTATTTCAAATAAAAAGTACAATGTCCAAAAGTACAAAAGAAGTTCTATAAAACAAGAAATGACAAGAATATTTTATTTTTTTAAATGATCAATGAAAACATACAAACAAAATTTATCGAGAGATCGTAATAGTAACTTGCAGACGAGACTTCTTTAATCTCTAGGAGTGAACGGAACTCAGTGCATACCGGTTTTTTGTCAATGAAGCAATTCAACCAAAAGTTTAAGGTTGTGATTGTAGACTTACAAATAGTTTTATATTCCAACAAGTCCCCTCAAGAGAAATTTGTTTTTTCTCACTTTTATAAAATAAAGAATATATTCCCAAAATGGTCCTTTGTAATAAGGTGTTTTCCCAAATCAGTCCTCAATAAGTTTAAATTACCTACATGGTCCTCTATGAGTAAGATTCATTCCCAAGATATTCCTTTGTAAATAATGTTACTCAAATGATGATTAATTGGAGGATATTTTGGTATTTTTTATCCGCTAAATTTAGAATAAGTTCTTAAAATGATCATTTATAATAGAGTGCTTTCCCAAAATGGTTTTTCTAGTTAAAGATGTGTATTTAATTCGAAATTTAGAAGATTTTTATAAGTTTTTAATAATTCATGGATTATTTATAGTCAATGCATTTTTTAATTTTACATTTAGTTGTACAGAAATGACCGTTTCGATAATATAATTTAAATTTAGATGATAAAAATACCAAAATATCCCCAATTAATCATCATTTGAGTAACATTATTTACGAAAGACTATCTAAGGAATAAATCTCAGTTATAGAGGACCACGTAGGCAATTAAAACTTATTGAGGACTAATTTGGGAAAATACCTTATTACAAAGGACCATTTTAGGAATTTACTTAAAGAATATAAATGAGAATATATCTTATAGTTAATTACCGCTCTTAAAAAAATATGTAGTGTTTCATATGGTGTTTCCTAAAAGCATTATTTGCATGGATAACCCAATTGGTCCGAGGAAAGGATGTCATGCCTAAATTAAAGGTCTTATGATCAAATCTCGGCAGTGGTAGTATATGAATCATATTCTTTGTAATAACTCCTCGTGCACACAGCCTCTCTAAAGACCAAACTAAGATTATAACATAATTTTATCATCACCACTATTTTCTCGGACCAAGGATAAGAGGGCACCCGGGATGGTCGTTCCACATTCTTTTTTTCCTAAAAAAAGTGAAGTATCAAATGGTGCCTAGGATGGGTATCAATCAACACTAGAGCGGGCAAAATGGTCGGTCAGGTCGGGTTCGGGTTCGGTCACTTTGAGTTCGTGTTATTTCGGGTTCGGGTCAATTTCGGTTCGGGTTGAGAACAATATGTTCATGACCTTGTGTCATCGGGTTCGGGTCAACCCAACGTGTTATGGCTTTAGTTTTTTAAATTTTAAAATTCACATTAACACTTACCTTTTCTATTAAATAAATTTAAAATATCAAAAAATACGTATTAAATCTATTAGATTATTCTATTTTAAATCCTGAAAATATTTTTAGAATACAAATCAATATAAGGAATTTAAAAAATGCTTAAGTTTTAGAAAAAAGTAAGATAATTGTGCAATATCATTAAAATTTCGTCTGAAAATATAAATTTATACATTAAAAACGAGTAGTAAAGTGTATAATTTTGAAAAACTCTTACTTTAGCAGGTCGATCGGGTTGGGTTCGGGTTCGGTCGGGTTTGACCTATTTTTAGCAGGTCATTTCGGGTTCGGTCAACTTCGGGCTCGGTCATCAAAACCTTTGTTCAAAACCCAATATTTTCAGGTCGGGTTTCGGGTCAAAAACAGGTCGGGTCAGTTTTTGCCAGGTCTAATCAACACTATTCCACTCCCCTTCGCCTTGCATCCATTTGGAGAGATAGAATTGAGATAGTTGGATTGTATGGCGGTAGCTTTTGTGCTTAACAATATCTAGTTCATTTTTCTTATCTTTCTTCTCGTACTTTATGTTTCTTTCTGTGTGCTCTGTGCTACTCGAGTTGGGGGTCTCTTGGAAATAGCATCTCTACTTCCAAGTAGAGGTAAGGTCTGTGTACACACGCCTTCTCCAGACCCTACTTCCGTGGGAGTGTGAGATTTTACTGGATTGTTGTTGTTGCATTCTCGTCCCATTTGTGAGCAGAGTTATTTGTATTCAAAAAAGAGAATGTGTAGTCTTTATATAAATAACATGTATGAGATCATGACACAATTTGATTATTGTGTCAAGAAGCTCATACAAATCAGAAATATAAAAATATATCCCCTATAAAAAATTATGTCCTGATAAAAAAAATAAATTCTTAATGTTTATGTAGACATTCATTTATATTTTTAAATTTATTAATTTGTTTATGTGAGAGAGCTCATAGTAGATCTTAGATCAATGATTGAAGCACTCACATAGAATTATGTCAAATCAAAACTCAACCACGAGAAATTAAAACTCAACCATGAGAAATTAAGTACTTTGTTCGTCTATGAGCCTTCAAAGAGAAGTATTTTGTTCCTTTGGTAATGTTCTTTCCGTGTTGACGTGACACTTATTTAAGAGTAGGATAAGAATGTCAACCTTCTAATAATGCCCTTTAAAACTTTTAGATCTCCTTTTCTTATTCAAAAAGCAGCAACAAAAGCAGTAACATTTACCATTACAAAGTAGACTAAAAAATAGGATGAATATTTTCGAACAGATCGAAACGAGTGAAAATCAAACAATGTTGACTCACTTCATCTTGTCATAGGCTTTGGCCACGTCAAGCTTAAGCACACCCCATCCAACTGTTGCTTTTTGTATAAGAAGTGACAAAGAGAATATTGTTTGTAATAAGTCTACCAAAGAGAAAATCACTCTTGGACTCAGAGACTACATCACCCAACAACGCCTTCTTCCTGCTAGCAATCATCTTTGCCATATAACGTTAAGAGACCAATAGTTATAATACAGAATAGCATCACAAAGGGCCTGTTTGGGAATATTGTTAGAGATTAGCATTAGCGTTTTGAAAAGACTATCTATTAGCAGCGTTTTGCGTTAGCGTTTTCAAACTAATCTGCACCGTTAAAATTTTATCCAAAACACTAACGCTAATTTCTAACGATATTCCCAAACAGGCTCAAAAGAAACTATATATTCGAAAAAGACAGGAAAATGAGAATTCTAAAAAGAGAAAAGAGAAACCATCAAAAAATTACAAAAATATCATCAATTTACGATATCAATCAATCCATCACAAGCGATAAGATTCATCACAAAAGAACTTGTTGCAGTTTAACTATAACTGGGACCTTAAAAATTTATACAACCACACTCTCCCTACCATCTTCTATTTTAGTAATCAAAGAATAAAAATTTAAGTGTTGAAGCTCCATATAGCGAATGGTCATTAGCAGCTAGCTGAGGCACCTAAAGATATCAGTGAATTTCAAAGGCTTTCCTGCATGACTAATTCAACCAGAGATCAATATAATACAAAGTCTCCATGAGAGAGAGAGAGAGGACGCGTGCTTTTATTATTGTCCCCGGTTTTCTGGGGTTGGTCTTCATTTACCTGTCTTGACATGCTCAGTTCTACTCTTTTCATCAAACAGCTCAGATTGCTTGCTTTGGGCTTCATCGACGACGTCTGGGTGCAAGAAGCTCGGTTGGTTGGTCGACGAAAGAAGTCGGGCCCACATCCTATCGGTTATGACAACCTGGTTTTGCTGCTCCGTGATGCGCTGCACAAGGGGAACTACTACTTTCATTGTTTCTACATGCGAGCCCTACTTATATGGTTATGCCTGATGTTATAAGAATCTCTAGGAGACTGACCCCTAGACTACCGAAAACAATATTTCTTGTATGGTTAGAGAGAGAATGAAAATAAAAGTGCAAGGAGAAAAAGAGGTAATCTAAAAAAGGGGAAACAATTTTTCTTCCAATTTGGTGAGAAAAATGAGAAATACCTTTTTCCTTTCCTTTTCTTCCTAATTCCTCGAACCAAACATAATACTAAAGTCAAGGCATGAGTAACTTATGTTAAACTTGCTGCAATAATCTTTAATTGTTGGGGTAAAATTAAAAATATGGGGAAAAAAAGAAAATATGGGGAAAATATTCAAAATTAAAAATTAGTATGGACGTGTAAGCCCGAGAACAAGAAACCTAGTAAAATCCTACAAGAGGTCTGGGGAGGGGAGTGTGTGTATAGTGTATACACAGACGTGTAAGCCCAACTAGCGCACTTAATTGCTCAAGCAAATTATTTGGACAACTAGGCACTTGTCTTTGTGTGCTAGTGGTGCATTGCACCTAGGCAGCAAAATAGCCTGAATTGTAAAACAGGATTTGTTTAACATCATTGCAATGAAAACTTACATTGAATGGGATGTAAGTCTGGTGACCATTGACAAGCCCACAAGTAAAGCCTGTATACCCAGCCATCGCTCCATGGACTGCACTTTGAGCCAGCAATGAGCAATACACATTGTCAGAGGCATTACTTGGAATGGCACGGATCATGTAGGTCGGATCTGCAACATAAAGTTGAATTAATTAGCTCTATTTAGGAGGAATGGGAAAGTAAAGCATCCAACCTATAAATAGCTGAACAGACAGAAGGTAGCATCCGACCTATATATTTAAGAGTAATGGGGAAGTTCAGTTTTTTAGCATGATCCTGCAAGAAGCAAACACAGAGGACATAAATTAATACATTGCTACTCCATATATTCCAGTAAACCCGGTAACGGTTTTCTCCAAATTCGAAAACATTTCCACTGTAAGGAAGAGGCAGTAAGACAGAAGTGTGTGTGTGTGAAGAAAAAGGAGCAGTTGGTTCATAGTGCAGTGTGCACCCAAAACGGTGTCTCTTTGTTTGGGTGGGAAGTGTTTTCCAATTAAAATAAATTCACTTCCCATGGAATATAAATCCCACCTCTTACCACTGGAATAGGATTCCTTGATTTTAAACAAATCCTACCTGTTTAGTTGTGCAAAGATATTTTTTAAGTGATGGTAATACTTCCCATTGCAAACAAACACCTAGTGTATGCTTTGCCTATAACTATAAGATTATATGCCCATGGGCACTATATAAAATTGCAAAGAGGAGATAATTTAAAGTGGTAAGAGGTAATGAGGCTTAAAACAATAGAAATGAATACTGAAAATCATATTCATTTATATATGGCAACGTCAAGTACCTTGATTTTTTGAGAAATCCATAAACCAACATCACGGAGAAGCCTGTTTCCTGAAGCATCTTGTCCAGTCTTGGAATTTGAAGTCTCCGCTGCAATGAGGTCTTGTCCTGCTCCTTCAGCTGCCACAAGAACCATGTGCCCATTTTCTTTTAGTCGTTTCACAACAAACTCAAGAAGTCCACCTTTTCCTTCGAGGTAGAATGGGGACTCTGGGATCAAACAGCAGTCAACATCTCTGCTGGCCAAAGTAGCATACATTGCAATGAATCCTGAACGAAAATTCAAAAATCATACCCCCACTGCCAAAAAAAGATTTTTATTTTTCTATTCCGTTTTTCCCACAATAAGGTTCATGTTCTCTTTTTAAATAAAAAAAATGTGTGTGGTTTCATGAGCCGAGTGCCCTTCAAAAACAACCTCTCTTCCTGTATAGGTGGGGATAATAAAGTCTGCATGCACAAATAGCAACCCCAGATCCTAACCTACAGGAAGAGACTTTACTCTAATCTACATAAATAGCAGTCACACAAATTTAGTCTCTTAATCAGCGTGTTAAATCAAACCCGGATCCTCAAGTCATAACTAGTCTCTCTTGTGATAAGGCTCAAAACACTCCAAGTGCATCTTACCACTATAGCGACCCATTAGCTTTACAACACCAACACCGTTCTCAGCGCTTTCAGCTTCAACATGAGCCGCATTGATGGCACGCTGAGCCTCCTCTACAGCGGTATCAAAGCCAAATGATTTGTCAATAACCTAAGAAATACAAAACAATTATTTTTGCTCTTGTGGAGTTAGGGAAAATACAAGGAATAAGAATCATTTAAGATAACACCATAAAACAACTTAGCTATAATTCAATTGGTTTATAACATATGGCATAACTATCTCAATTAACAGTATCCAACTTGGACAAACATTAACTTCAAAAAATCACAAGTAATGTACATTCTGGTGATAAACATTCTCTTTTAAACCATCATTTTGAGCATCATGATACATCTCAGCAAGTATAAACAGTTTCCATTTGATTTTTGGGGAAAGCTGGTCATGATGGGCATTAAGGAAACAACAACAACAACAACAACAACAACAACAACCCAGTTAAATCCCACAAGAGTAGGGTCTGGGGAGGGTGTGTGTACGCAGACCTTACCCCTACTCGAAAGTAGAGAGGCTGTTTCCAAAGAGACCCCCGGCTCAACGTCGAAAGTTGCATTGCTTGACTAACTGCTACTTCATTAATTAAAGAAGCGCAGATAGTTTAGAGATCCATTTTGATTTATTCCATCACACCCCAAAGCCAAAAAATGGTGAAATTTTGGCTCCATCGGAGATGATGGAAAAATGGGCATTAAGGAAGTCAATTTAAAAATGGTGAAAAGAAAGAACAAAGTTGTGGGAGGTGACCAATTTATGAATGGAAAGGGAATATGGCCAGTTTTAGTGAAAACGGGGGAGTAATTTGATGTGTATGGAAGTGGCAAGTAATTTCCACTAAAACTAAGATTTCATCACTTCAATACTTATGTTTCAAGAAATTACCGAGTATTAATTTTGTCATGCTAAGAACTAAGAATTAGCCCAATAAAATCAATGAAAAAGGTAAATGGCATTCATGTCATGTTCAATCATTATCAAATGGGACAAGATGTTCAGTCACACTGTCAAGTTGATTTTGTCTTCCAAATAGGAAATAACATTTCACTTTTGTTTTTCTCCTCTTAAAGTGGAATGTGAACACAAGAAAAGATGAACAGAGAGGAATATGAGATAGCCTTATATTACGATCTGCACTCAAAAATGGCCTTCTATTATTCAATATCCCTCAGATGGAAAAGGATAATTATTAGCCAACCAGCATAATAGCAAGTACATCAGCAGATATATGAAGGGATGGGGATCACCGAAATGTCGTTGTCAATTGTTTTAGGGATTCCAGCAACAGAAACTTGGAGGCCACGCCGCCTTAGTTCCTGAAACACACAAAAAGGACTATAAATCAATTGAATTATAGCTAAGGTGTTTCATGGAGTTATCTTGGAAGTTGGAACGAATATTATTCCATGTATTTTCCCCAAGAGTTAGATATGATTGTTGAGAAATTTACCTAAATAGTACTAAAACATAGTGACTTTCCTAATGTAGTACCATATGTTTTTTTTCAAATGTAGTACCACTGTTCAATGTCCACTAGTCATTGTTCAAACTAAATGTCCACCATCACTGGACATTGTTCCAGCCACTAGACATTATTCAAGTACTATTTGGGGAATAAAAAAGTTTAAGTACTACATTGGGAAAGGACATATGTTTTAGTACTATTTAGTGCAAATTTCACATGAGTGTTTTGTATTTCTTATGTTATTGACAAATCATTTGGCTGTGGTACCGCTGTAGAGAAGAACCAGCGTGCCATAAATGCGGCTCATTTGAAGCTGAAAGTGCTGAGAACGTTGTTGGTGTAGGCTGTGTAGCAAATCCAATGGGTCCTAAAGTGGTAAGATGCACTTGGAGTCTTTTGGACCTTATCACGAGAGAGACTAGCTTTATTGTAGACTGTTAATCACTTATAAACTTGTAATCTCAATTTTCTGTGGAAACCCTCTCTCCGTCTGTCCCACAAAATTTAAATGTCTGAATATTACTCCGCCTCCCTATTTTATAGGTCCCAATTTTTGTGAGTAGGTTGGGTTTCAGAGTGTCTCTTTCTTTTGTTCTGGTTGTATTGGATTCTCGGAGACTGCTCAGTTTTGTGGGGTATATTCTTTGTATTCTTATTATATTGGGTAGATAGATTATCTTCTTGGAGTTCTTGCCTTGTTCTCTTACTTTGTTTTGCTTTATAATTGAGGAACTGTTATATACATAGAGGCAAGAAGCCAAGGACTGGGTACACTCACCTCAGATTCCACTGTGGATCTTCACTGGGGAGGTTGTTATTAATGTATCTTTGTCACCTTTATTCCAACTACGTTGGGATGGATGGCATAAATTTTGTGTCTGTACTCAATAAAATGATTTGTTTGTAAAGAATTATTGAAAACCTTTAATTCATGCCCTGGCAAAATTTTAAGCCGGGTGACCTTCATGCCACAACCTTCTAAAGAAGAAATATTGAATAAAAAATCCAAAATCGTCATTGTCACAAGTTTTTCAATAGCATGGAAAAGATCATGACACAGCTAGGTGTTGAGATCGATCTTGTAGTCATGTTCCGTTAGAAAATTGATTTTGAAAATAACATGCACATCATGGAACATGAATACTACTCCGTATTTTATAACTAGTGTCAGTGTGTCACGTGAAGGAACATGAAAGATATAAAAAGCACTATTCTAATAAAAACATGTATATAAAAGAATTGGTTTTTTAGAGTCTTTTCCAAGTTTCCCCCCTGAAGTAACAAAGCATGTAAGAAGGCAAAAATGAAAAATGAAAACCTTGTAGATCAGCGCTGCTCCTTTTTGAGTTCCATCCCCTCCAATTATATAGACCTGGAACAATAATTACACCTATTAGAGCTAGCTGTAATTAAATCTTGATGTGTCCTCAACAAGGCAACAACACCAAAAGAAACTCTGATTACTAGCAAAAGTTATTCTACAGTCTACACAAAATCTCATGATTGAAATACCTGATTAATTCCACGATCCTGAATACTATCTGCAATTTTGGCAGTATCATGGCCTCCTCGAGATGTTCCAAGGATTGTACCACCCCGTTTATGTATGTCATTTACAAGCTTTGGAGTTAAATTTTTTGTATTCCTCGCATAGAAACCCATATACCCACCCTGAGAAGAAGAAGAAGAAATAAAAACATTATTAGACAACAATGTCAAAGGAATGTACCATTCAACCATTTCATGATAGAGATTTATGTATTCCATTTACAAGCTCTGGGTATAAATTAGGTGTACTCCCAGCATAGAAACCCCTATAGCCACCCTATGAAGAAGAATTTGAAAAAGAAAAAAAAGATCAGACAACAAAAGATAAGGGTTGTACATGCTACTGTTTTCACACGGCCAAATTGCTCTAGAAAGCCAGCAACTAATCATTTACTACACCTACAGGGCATACACCTTGAAAACTAGAATACAAAAGGGTTCACTTTTAAGTTTTAAGGGCACATTGTAATGATATCATACTTTTAACAATACTAATGTGGTATAATTGTATAAAATAAATAAATAAATATTTAAATGCACAACTATCCGTCGATTGCTAATAGAGCTAAAGCAGTGACCATTGATAATGTTGATTCGGGCACATAATGGACTAAATAAAAAAGGCAAATTAAACATCCTTTTGCTTCTTACTCACTATGAAGTTTTGGGATATAAATGCAGCAATGCATCTGTGGTCTAACGGAAATAACCTCTGTTTTTACAGGGGGAAGACTACGTGCATCTTGACCCTCCAGACCCCAACGGAGTTGGAATTATAGTGTGTTGTTGTTGTTCATTTAAATGCACATAATCTCAACAGTTTTTCATTTGTATATTCTGTCAATTCACTAATTCGCAAGAAAGTTGAGAAGACAAACTTGCAGGGAGGAAATAAAACTTGGGTGCCATAATTTTGAAATGATGCATTTTAAGTGTATAAACTATTTGCAAGAAGCTTACCTCTATTCCAAGGACTTTGGTGACACCATATGTGTGAAGGCTATGAACAATTTCCCTGATCACAGTATTCAGCCCTGGGCATAACCCGCCACATGTTACAATACAAGCGTGCACCTCATTTGGACTAAAATACACCTAAACAATATTGTAGATTGTCACATCAAAGCTATTGTATTATTACTAGTGAAATGTTTATTAGTTGTATTAAATCCCCCATAACTGAGTACCAAACATACCTTTTGACGAGGACCAGCACGCCTAAAATGTACACCCCTTGGACTATCAATGTGAACAACAACCTGTAAAGAAATACACATTGAAGACTAAATTCTTTAATACCAAGAGACGTTGCTTTTGCAAATAGGAGACTACCATGATCTGAGTTTGTTTCAGAATAAATCCTAACATAACACTACAAGTTGAAAATATATAATTATATGGGAATAAGGGTGGCTTTGCATTGACAACTCTCTTTTACTAACAGACAGAATGGAGCTTGGCATAATTGGCAAGCCTTTCCCTGGTATTCCTTTGGCCTGATTAGCCTCCATATGATGTACCAAAGAATAAACAAACAGAGCCAGTTCAAAAACATAGATTACCTTTTGGGGAACAACATCTTCCATGTCAACAAAGTATTGTCTGAAATCACAATGAAGGTGTTAGACTTCATAACTAGAAACGATAACTTTTTAAAACAATTGTAAACATTTAAAACAAAAATTAAAACCCAATAAGTAAGACTCTTGGACTTCGCAAATACTAGTTATCAATGGGTGGGAGTGTTTACAACAAACCCTTACTATATGTTCAATGACGGTATTGTGTGAGCTTTTAGCCACTAGCTGTCGACACAGAACATTATGAAAGATAAGATACGAAGTACAACTTACTTCACAACTGAATATGCAGGATCAGAACGCAATGGATTAGAAAAAGTCTGCATACAAAGCAAGTAAAAAGTTCATGCAAAATCTAATCCAGCGTAAATTAACAATGTTAATATAATAAAAAAAGTATTTCATTCAAATACTAGAAAAAGTACAAGTGATATGCAACTCCATGCAACCGTAACAATTTTCAATCTGCACAATCCCATTAGAAGCTGACTTTCACGAGTTTTTGTCTTTACCTTCCTAGTGACATTAGCTCATGACATGCCATTTCATAATATAATTAGGTTTTCCCTCATTGCAGGGAGTATATGTTATGTTATTGGTCTGTTGAGCACCCCCAAAGAAAAACTTCAACACTTAGACGAGGCTAACTTTCCAAATTGTTACTGGGAATGACTAAATGGAAGACTGATATATGACAATACTTGGCTATGGTATTCCAAAGCAGACATTAGTAGTTTTTGTTGACAAAAGCTGTTGTCTAGGATGACAAGTAGGAAAACCGCGCAATGTCAATAATGGTGTTCTTAGATGGAGTTGAACTAGGGCATCAAGGTGGAATGAGTAATTGAGCACACCTTTGCAAAAGCCATAACACTTGGTTCTATTCGGCTAGTGCAGGAGGCCAGAAGCAAGTGGCCCCCCAATCGGTGTCTATTTGTTGTAAATGTTGTTTGTTAATTGAAAACATCATTTTTATACTCCGTATTTATGATATTATTTTTACTATTTTAACTTTTTATGCCCGCTAAGTGTTTGAGAAAATGTCTAGAAGTAAAACCTTACCGAGTTGTTATTTACACCACTCATTTTTATTATACTACTAATGATATTGCCTCATATTGCATTTGGTCCCTTTCATCCAATGATTCAATGTCCTCCAAATATCCTTGGAGTGCAACAAACTAACCTGCATGTTGCCTCCCCTTAAATGTAATCATGCAATCAATTTCATATGATAATCTAATCAATAAACGCAGCACGAGAGAACAAAACTAAATGCACATTCATGATACAGCATTCAATCAATCTAACACACACATAGATGATATATACATATATGTGTATATATACATGTATAGAGAGAGAGGGAGGGAGAGATGATATACAGGGATGTTGGGGAGGTAATCACTCAAGTGAGGAACATCTTCAAGCACATAGCCATTCGGCCCCTTCACCACCTTCATCTCTTCTTGAGGATTGCTTTCCCCGGCCATTTTCAATTCAATTCCAGGTCAAATCAAATTCTTACGCAAACATTGCGCTTTGTAAATTTAGGTTTCGAGATTCGAAAAAATCCAGATGATGAATGAGAGAGAGAGAGAGACGAGGACAATGCGATTCCGAGAAGACCGACCCTTTCATCAAGTCAGTAGCAAGATGAGTTGAAATCTGCCGTTCGTGGAAGGGAAACAGTTTGATCGTTCCGCGGGTTTCTCGCCATGGCTTTGGACTTTTATTGGGACTAGGAGTTTAACTGCACCGCCCGAGCTGGCTGGATTTTATTTTCAATTTATGTGGATAGTATTCTACCAAATTTAAAATAAATAAAGTTTGATCGTATGAATAGTAATTGAGAATAACATTTTAAGATAGATGGAGTATTTAAGTATGGAGTATTTTTAAATGTTTTTTAAAATTACAAAGCACTAAATACCTTTATGTGCACAATGTTTTCTGTAAATTTATTTGAATGTTCATTTTCGAGTAATTGAATAGATAGGGGGAGTACTCCGTATTTTTTTAAAAAAATAAAAATTACAGACTATTGAGTATTTTATACCCTACATCCGAATGCACAATTTTTTTCGTATATCCACTTGAATACTTATTTTCGAGTTATTGAATACTCTGGGCATTCATTTTCGTGTAACACATTATTTATTATCGAGCATAAATACATTTTAGAAAAATAGGTATTCAGTTACTCAAAAATGAGTATTTATTTGTTTCAAAATGGGTATTCAATTGTTCGAAAATGAGTATTCAATTGTTCGTAAATGAGCACTCACTGAAAGTGTGCAAGAAACACTGTACAACCGATTGCACGGTATATATTGCACAGAGTACCGAGTATTAAATACTTTGTAATACTCTCTCCCTTCCAAAATATTCTTTCCATGCATTATTGGTGACTTGGTGTGGTCAAATTTTATTCATTTTATTTATTTATTTTTCACTGCACAATTCAAAATATAAAAAGTCACGTCACCTCTAATATTTTACAATTTTTAATATAATTTTTTTATATATATAAATTTTGTTTTTGAATTTTTACGCTTGTAGTCCGTGATTAAATGAATATAATTGAAGAAATAGTCAAACATCATATATTGGGAAAAGAAGAAGAACTCGAGTTGGACGACGTATATAAATTAAAATTTGTCTAAAAAAGCTTTGTGTAGAGCTTTTATTCATGAGAGAACTTCTCATTTGTTTGTGCCTCCTTGGTTTTAAATAAAAATACTTAATTATTGGTTTCAAATTTAACCTATTACATAGAATATCACATTTGCATATATATTTCATGCAAGTGTAAATGAGCTCGTGCAAAACACAGGATAAAAATTAGTCCTTACAAGATACACAAAAGGATTTCTCAAGTATAAAATATACTCTATTGTATTTACTATTGGAGTATAAAATATTGACTACAAAATTCTTTAATTTTTTGTCTAAACAATAATCACAAAATATGCACTGACTTATTGTGCACCATTAGATTGAGAATATTATAAATGGATACTAAATTATAATTGAATTAATTATGTGATTAAAACATAAATGTATTTTAGTTTTTCAAAATTAACTGACCGAGTCTAGTTATTGGATAGTTTAGGTTTTTTCATACTAGTTGTCAACATGTACTTATTAAGTACCCTGCCAGCATTTAAATTGTCATATATTGAATTAGTTGAGTTTGTAGTGACATAGTAGCAGTGCAAACATGTTAAATTTATAAGAGTAATAGTGTCAATAGTTGAATTTCAAGTATAATCGTAAAATTGTCAATTGTGTATTTGTGAGAGTATTCATTGATTTTTTTTCTTAGAATAAACATACTTTATACACCGTATTTCTTTTCAAGATGGTTGGTCCACATTATGGTTAATTCAATTTATTTAAATAGTGTTATAAAGATTAAAAATAATGTATACTCTCCATCGAGTATGTCTTTCGTTATTTTGACTTTAAAGCTTGTAATGAGAATTTTATTTGATTTTCCTAATTTGTCTTTTGTCCTATTACACAAAAATAGGCGTATAAACAATATTTTGAGTTTGTTACAATGTATATTATAGAATACGTTTATATAATCACCACACTTTTAGATAGTATGATCTAGGTGTAATGTGCATTCTGTTTATATTTACAATACTTATTCGATATTCCGAATAGAAAATATATGAGGCGTGTATTTTTCTCGTATCTACAATATTTCTGGATATTTTAACAAAATTGATAAAGGTAGCTGAAGAGCCTTGATGATGACAAGTATGGGGGAGGCTTGAATTCTGGAGGCGATTCTTAGCTTTGGATTCGGCACCTTAGGTGAGATTAGCTTATAAAAAAATCTTGTTATTTCTGTCTAGTTGAGACACATGCTACGATTTTCTCATCTACCAACCTCATGTGGCATAGACGATTAAGGGTGCGTTTGATGAGTAAAAAAGATACGAGTTTTGATATCTCATATGTCAGAACCTTTTTCAGTTTGACTGTTTGGTGAAACCAAAAAAGATATCGAGTTTGATGTCTCCAGACATTACAAATCTTTCAAATGTAGGACTTTAATATTTCCCAAACTTGGGAATATGAATATGTAAATTTAAATCTCGCTCAACCGTTTACTATCTTCTGACACCGGTTTCACTGTCGTTGCCAACCACCATGTTGACGGTGACCCTCCTATCACTAATTGAATACTCCGTAATAATATTTCCAAACAACTTCATTTCATATTTCAAAACTTATATTATTTCTTCCAAAATTAAAACACGTGTGTTATCATATCTGCGAAACTCATTAAATAGCAAATATCAACAAAAATCAAGAAGATATTGAACCCATTCTTATGGACGAGTTGAAAGGTTTATACTTCCCGCCCGAAAATGTTATTCATATCAAGAAGATTGGACTTTGACCACAAATATCTTTATTTATACATAAATATTTTTTTATAAACATTTGATATTTGAAAAATTACGTTTCAATAGGAATATATTGAAACTAAAGTTATACTTCACATCATAATACAATATATTTTTTTCACATTGAGGAATCAAAATGTATAAATCTTGACTAAGAAAAATATTTTCAAATAAGAAAAGAATTGTACCGGAGCAGAATTTAAGAATTACAAGCATATACTCCGTAACAAATGTAGTCCGTGTGATGTAAGGAAACCTTCGAAGTTCCAAAATGTCTCTCACAAAAGCATGATAATAATAATAATACTCCTTTGACTGATTCCCACCCCAATCCAATTTGCAAAACCCCAAAAACCGATTACCATTGACCCCCCTCTTTCTTCCCCATCTCAGATCTCTTCCATCATTCTCTCTGCAGCAATTTGTCTTCTCCGTCCGTATGCATATGTACATATGCCCATAGATTAGGGTTTCGTCGAATTGCTTTCCCCTGAATGCTCGCTCTGATAGAACAATCCCAAAACAAGGGTTGAAAAAAAGTCGTTCGATTTCCTGCTTCGGCGATCAATTGGGGTCGCGATCTCTAGAATATACATCTCCTGGCTGCTCTAGATTTCAGAATCCGCAACAGTTCGAGGTGTTTTTCTTCTTTGTTGGGCGAGAGAGCAAACGATTCCATGACGGTGGACTCTGAGAGCTCAGCTGAGACTTTTCCTGCGTCTGCTGATGTGCCGCTCCGGAAGAAATATGGTGTTACAAGGCCCTTGTCTCTGACCGGGCCATCCCAGGCAGATCTCCATAGAAACGAGGAACTTGAAAAGGTGGTGTTGTTCGTGCTTCTGCTTTTCGAAATTGTTTTCTTTTTGGGAAGTTGAAAAACATTGTAATAGAGATTCCAGTAGTTTTTTCCCCTATCGAACTTGGGTCTTGAATGTGAACTAACGTTGTGTTGAATTTGGATTTGAAGTTTTTGAGGGATTCGGGGTTGTATGAGAGTGATGAAGAAACTAGAAAGAGAGAGCAGGTGCTGTGCCAGCTTGATCAGGTAAATTTTTAAGCTCTACTGCTAGTGGTAGTTATTAAACTTTGCTTCATTGCAATTAATGTATATGCAAACAGCTTCATTAAGATGAAGATACAATTGTGTTTTAAAACACTTCTCTGCCCAAATAATTTGTATGATGAAGCAAACCTGGTGATGGCGAGTCTAACCAAGCCATCTCCTCCAGTAGAGTAATGAAATAAAGAAAACGGGGCACGCCGTAAACCCATAGAGAAATGAAAGTTGTAATTCTTAAAAAGCTTGTGTAACCCAAATGCATCTTTCTTCGTGGGATGGAATGAGCACATGTTGATTTGGGAAGTTTCTATGTCCTCCAGTTTGTAACCCGCCACTGTCCCCACCCATATCTATGTAGCAGATATTGATTCTTAACATGGGGAATATACCATATTTAGGAAGTACATGTGAAACTGCGTATACCCTGTTTTATACTCTCTTGTTTGATGACTTAGAGTTTACATTTGTCAATGATTCTGTGACCTTATTTTTTGCTATTTACCTTTTTTCAATTGAATTATGTTTTTCAGATTGTAAAGCTCTGGGTAAAACAATTGACCCGCCAGCGAGGTTACTCAGATCAAATGGTGGAAGATGCAAATGCTATTATATTAACCTTTGGCTCCTATCAGTTAGGTGTAAGTAAAGTTCTTAGTTATTTTATGTGCGTTAGAATTTATGAAATAAGGCTTACTGTCTCAAGTTTTTATACTCCTCCAACTTATTAAAAAACTTTGATGTTTGACTTTCACAAAGTTTAAGAAAAGTATTAAAAAGTGAAAACTTTATGGTTAGAAGTTGTTTAGAGGAGAGAAAAAAGTTGTGAGCCACTCATTCCTTTCATTAAAAGTCAATGACGTTTTTTGGACACATGAGAAGGGAAAGAGTGAATTTTATTCAGGGAAAAGGGAGTGTTTTTTTCCGAGGGAATATTGCTTCTTATTTGCAAATTATCTCTTTTTTATTCAATTCATAGTTATCATCTATGAGCTGAGTTCTAGATACTAGATACTCAAAGTTTCTTGTTAATTATAGCTGTTTCTTCTCTCTTAGCTAAGCCAGTTTCATGTGGTCAAATGCAAGTTTGCATGCTGTTAAACCATAAACTGCAAAGAGGATAATATGTGCTAAAAGCACCCTACTAAATGATTAGATTGCCGAGTTTTAGTCTCGTGAGAGAATTTTTGCATCGTAACTTTATTTAGCCTTTTGAAACATGTACTGCAAAGTTCTTAATAGCAGACTGTATCTAAGAGTAATTTCTCTCCGATCTTATGAATGCTCAAGTGGGAAATGCTCAACAATGAAGAGAAAATACCTTGGAAGGAAAATTTAATGGGAAACATGTAATATGCTGTTTGCCTTTTCTATGTTCAATTTTGTGATTAATATTTGAAATAGAAGGTGCAATCTCAATTGAAATACTCTAAAGTCTGAGCGTCTTTAGCCTAGCTAATAGAAGAAGGTTTAGAGACAGTGATGTAATCATGAACAGTGACTCTTTCTGCGTCCACATGCTCTTTGTGATTAGGGTGTAATTAATGTGATTAGTAAAAAAACCAGAAATTAAGGTGGATCTCATTGCATAAACACATAACTTAGGGCCTGTTTGGTATCAAAACCAGATTCAGTTTTAGTGTTATGATTTAAAAAGATAAAGTAAACCAAAAATTAGTCATACATATTCTATCCATGTTAAATTTGAAAACTACTCACAAAAAACTGAAGATCACTTCTGACTTTCAAAATCCTGTCTTTATTTTCAAAAAAATAAGACATAAATGAGCTCTGAACCAGATGATTTAAAGCTGCATATAGTGGTGTGAAGCTAACTTATGATGACTTCTGAACAATGACATCAGGAAGACATGAATTAGGACAAGACCCCTTGAGAATGCAATGCTTGTGGTGGCATTGTGAAAATAAAAGACCACAAATTAAATAACTGTTAAACTTACAAAATGGCTCTTATTGTGTGTTTCTTGAATTTTAATTAGTTTTTTACTGCCCTCAAATATAATTGACAGTTCTTTTGTTAGTCCCTTCTACATTAGACAAAACAATTATTTGGGGGGAATTTCTGTGAGACTTTAATGTTGTATTTGGTTGGAGGCAAACCTAGCTTCTTCAAGATCACCTCGTTTTGGAAGTACAGAGTATTTTGACGACTAGAATCTAGGTCTTAGATGAACATCTGAAAGCGAACTTTGGAGAACCTCTGGATTAGGGATGGCAACGGGTCGGGTTCGGGTCGGGTTCGGGCCGGATAGTACTATACCCGACCCGACTTTTAAAACCGAAACCCGACCCGAAACCCGACTTTTTAAGCCAAAAACCCGACCCGACCCGAACCCGACATTCCAACCCAAAACCCGAACCCGACCCGAACCTGACTTTTAACCAATAATCAATTCAATGTACCCCAATTTAAAATTTTTCTAATTTAGATTAAAAAAACACAGAGTAAAAAAATAATTCCTTAATATTTTTACTAATATTTACCGTATGAACTATATCATCGTGAAACAGTTCTCTAATATGCCTCACGAGTAATATAGATATCTATCCGAAAATACAATATTTTATAAGCCCAAACTCAGCCCAGCCCACGCCCAAGCCCAGCCCAAAAATAATAAACCCACACCCGACCCGATGTCGGGTTCGGGTAAAAAATTTCGGGTCGGGTTCGGATTATTTTATTCTCGGTTCGGGTTCGGATATTTTAGTGGTCGGTCGGGTCGGTTAAGCTCGGGTTCGGGTTGAATTGCCATCCCTACTCTGGATTCTGCGTTCTAGAGGTTGAATTATCATTCAAAGTAAAAGTGTCCTTCAGTGAGCTGTAGATTCTCAATGCAAACAACCTTTTTTTACCTCCATCTAGGTTAACCTAGTCATTATGCAATGTGTGCATGCACCCATAGTTGTGAAAAGCGCGCATGAGACCCAATGGTTTGTGCATTAGGATCTGTGATGCAGGCGACACACTGGAGGCATGCACATAGCTTCACATCATCGCATTATGGGATGTGATCTGAGGTGCTACAAGGCGTGCATCCAAACCAGTTTTTTTTTAGTATTTGTTTTATTAAAGCTGACGCTGTTCAGCTGTTGACTTTCGCCTCTCTCTGGTCTCTGCTTTGAGCCCTTCAACCTAAGAATAGGCTGTTTCTCTGACTTCACTGCTTCGACTATCTCTTCTCTTTTCTTTGACTCTCACCTGACTCTGCTGCTTGGGTGTTTTCCGCATGCTAGTCATATAGGTCACAACCTTGCAGGGTTCTTTGGAGTGTAATCGCAAGCTTTTACAATTTTTTGTTACTTCTTGGAGTTAATTCTTTTTCTTGTAGGTTTTTATCTATCTTTTTTTCAAAACAATTTCCTCTTGTAGGTAACTTACTAGCAGAAAGTCAGCACACAAAAGTTTTTCATATAATTACTAAATTATATGCATTATAAGTATTGTTACTATTGTAGAGGTGATATGCTACTTGTGCCTCAATTTGAACCTCATGTTCGTGATGCATGCACATGAATGGTGCATTGAGGGATGGGGGGCCATTTGTGCATCGGTGTGCATAGCCCACTGAAATGTTTGTTTCCAATTTGTTAACCTAACACTGTAGTTCATACTCATCAATTTTAATTGTCCTTACGCTAAGAACTTGAAATTTTACCTTAGCACATAATGTGTCCACAAGTGATGTTTCTTGTAGGTTCATGGGCCTGGAGCTGACATCGACACATTATGCATTGGGCCATCTTATATTAATCGAGATGTGAGTTTCAAGTAGTGGATAAAATGTCCTTACTTCAGTATCATTAATCCTAATATCCTTAACTGTATAAGGAGTTAACTCTAGATGCTCTTTTGGCTATTCTGCAGGAAGATTTTTTCATTGTTCTGCGTGATATTTTAGTTGAAATGGAAGAAGTTAGTGAACTGCAACCTGTTCCCGAGGCTCATGTTCCTGTTATGAAATTCAAATTTCAAGGAACATCAATTGACCTCCTTTATGCAAGCATTTCTCAGATAGTCGTCCCACAAGTATGCTTTAATGAATACGTTTCTATTAGCCTTGTCCTATTTCAGGTTTCAATTTTTTATAGACACAAGATCGTAAAGATAATTTGTCTGTGGTGGTGGTGGTTTTGGGGGGTGGGTGGGGTTGGGGCATGTGCCAGTAAAGATAGATTTTGATACTCAACATTTTTGGTGCATTTAAAACATCCGAAGTACTCTCCATGTTCTTAAAAATTTCTTCCTAGTTTGATTTGGGATGCTTTTTAAGAAAGTAGGGTGTCTGTGCTTTGTGGTTTATTTAAAGATGATAAAGAGAATATCAACCACACATATCTTTCTCTAGAAGAAAATGAAAAAAAAATTCTGGACATCCCAAAAAAGAAAGTGAGAAGAAAATTTTAGAACAGAGTGAGTAAAAGATAAATTTTATGTTGATTATCTTAATGGAAATGATATTCAATGGGGTTGTGTTGGTTTCAAACCAACAATGAAGCAGCCATTATATAGTATTAAGTGTGTTACATGCAGTGACAAAGGCTATGATTATTGCTTTTGAAGTGTCGAATACATCTTCACATTAAATGTTTTAACCGAATTTACCACTGCTTATCTCAACCTTGCAACAAGGGTGAATTTTGATTTTCTCTCTCCCACAGTTGTAGATGTCATCTTTTCAACAACATTAGAGCATTTTCAGTTGAACTGTATACTCTACTTAAAAATGAAAAATAGAATGGAAAAATTCATATGGTTAGTTGAAAATATGTAAACTTTGTTATGTTATTTTTTCAACAGGATTGTATGCATAATGGTACTGAAAGTGAATTGAAGTTAATACTTTATGCCCTTCAATATTTTCAATATGCTGGCAGGATTTTGACATTTCTGATCGCTCTGTGTTGTATAACGTTGATGAACCAACTGTTCGGAGCCTCAATGGGTGCAGGGTTGCTGATCAAATACTGAAACTAGTTCCGAATGCCGAGGTAGCATAGGTTTTTAAACCCCCATGATTCATCCGAGTATTATTGATTTCAATGTTATTCATTCTTTACTGTTTTTAGCACTTCCGGACAACACTTAGATGTTTGAAATTTTGGGCCAAAAGACGCGGTGTCTATTCAAATGTAAGTTGAAATCCCCACCCCTAATAAACCTTCTTAATTTGATGGTGATTTATACTTTGTTTTAATATAACAAATGCATTTTCCATGAAAAACGTCCTACTTGATTTTAGTATGGTTATCCACATTTATGCCTTGTTTGGTCTCTCTCTCTCTCTCACAAACACTTGAATAGGTCACTGGATTTCTTGGTGGTGTAAATTGGGCACTTTTGGTTGCTCGGGTTTGCCAGTTCTATCCCAATGCAATACCCAGTATGCTGATTTCACGGTTTTTTAGAGTCTATACACAATGGCGCTGGCCCAATCCTGTAATGCTTTGTCCTATTGAGGAGGATGAACTTGGGTTTCTTGTTTGGGATCCTCGCAAGAATCCCAAGGATAGAAATCATCATATGCCAATAATTACTCCTGCATACCCTTGCATGAATTCTAGTTACAATGTTTCACCAAGTACTCTTCGTGTTATGATGGACCAGTTTCAGTTTGGGAACAAAATTTGTGAGGTAAGCTATAAAAAAAGTTTTCTTTTGTACCCTTCCTATCCTTTGGCTGTGGTGATTATGTTTTCTTGTTTGTTTAACATCCAGGAGATTGAGTTAAACAAGGCACAATGGGGTTTTCTTTTTGAGCCATACTTTTTCTTTGAGGTGTACAAAAACTATCTTCAGGTTGACATTATTGCAGCAGACAATTATGATTTGCTGGCTTGGAAAGGATGGGTTGAATCACGGCTCAGACAACTAACACTTAAGGTGAAAAGTTGTTCTAATTAATATTACCATGGTGATGGTTTTGAATTATTTCAGTTTTGATGTTTTTGTTGCAGATAGAGCGTGACACAAATGGGATGTTGCAATGCCATCCTTACCCAAACGAGTTTGTGGACACGTCTAAGCCATGCCCACATTGTTCATTTTTCATGGGCTTGCAGCGGAGACAAGGAGTACAAGTGCTAGAAGGACAACAGTTTGATATTCGTGGAACTGTTGAAGAGTTTAAACAAGACATAAGCATGTATTCTTATTGGAGACCAGGGATGGATATTTTTGTATCTCACGTACGTAGAAAGCAAATCCCTGGTTACGTCTTTCCTGAAGGGTATAAGAGACAGAGGCTGTCCCGGACCACACATCAGTGTACTAATACTCCCCCTGAGAAAAATATCAGAGGTAGCCTGTCTCCTGAAGACAAGCATTCCAAGAGGAAGCATGAGAACGAAACAGTTTATGTGAAGTCCAACAAGCTTGGAAAGCAAATGTCTGTTAGTCCACTGCAGATAGGATCTGATTCTCCTGCTTCTGGTGGGTTATCTCCATCGTTGGGCATTTGCAAGGAATCTCAACTAGAGCATATGAGTATCGTTGATGTTTCGGGAAGTAGCGTGCCTGTCAGTTTAAATGGACAATGTGAGCAGGCTGGTACGTGGGAATGTGCTGAAAGTGTGTTATCAAGTTCCGAAATCTGCCTCACCAGCGAGGTTAGTAATTAGTTTGTTAGGTAGGCGCTAGGCTGCATCAACTGACCGTGATTGGGACCATTTAGTAAATGGGATCCAATTAATCAGTTCTACATATCTCTCCTGATCATGCCATCATATTAGATGCCTCTAAGATCAAGAGATGGTCTAGATGCATTTGCTTAGGGTAAATTTGCCACTGAAATAACTTCATGCTACATTATGGCCTCTAATGATAATAACTGTTTGAGTAGAGAAAAAATGGTCCTAAGAGCCTGTTCATTTCAACTTATTCTACTTACTTATTACTTTGTTTTATTGGGAATCAGATTGGACCAAACCGGACTAGATCAGAAATACCTTTAAATATTACTAGAATTAGAATACGACCACTTTAGATCAGATCAGACCTTAATAAAACCAGATCAGATCCAATACGAATGAGAAACCTTGAATATTTCTACCACTTGGACTTATCTTTGACGTCCTAATTTACGAATGAGAAACCTTGAATATTTCTACCACTTGGACTTATCTTATGTTTGGTTCATATTATTTCTCTGGCATGGGTGCATAAATTGCAATCACACAATTTCACCCTTAAACTTTCTGCTGAAAAGAAAATGAATTTTTTTATATCAGCACTGGTAATGAAGGATCCTTGCAGGGTGGTGTAAGCGTGGTGGAGCAAATTTTACGGGTAGGGGATGGGTGTCTAGATGAAAGCAGTGTACTGAGGACAGGGGGGAGTGCCTTGCCGGACAAACCAAATTCACAGGTGAAGTATTGAAGTGTTTCTTTCATTTCAATGATACACTTTCATTGTAATATCACTAACTGGAATTCTCTTGTCATTATGCACTTTCCATTTCAGTTTTCATTCACATCATCTTTTTGTTAGGATCATTCTGACTACTGAAGAGCTGGAATGTTGTTGATATTATTCAAGATATTCATGAAGTTGGGTTCTTAAATTTGTAAGCTTGTCAAGCCTCATGAATGTCTTGCAACATACAAGAGCAGGGTGCATTGTGGTTAATTCTACCGATTTAAACTATCTTATTTTATGGAAGATGAAAATTTTAATCTTTTTTGGATGGTTGCTAGTTTAAGGTGGTTACTAAGCCAGTTCCAAACCAAACCAAATAATCCCAGTAAATCCCACTCAAGAGTGGGGTGTGGAAGATGCATGCATACCTTACATCTACCCCAAGGAGTAGAGAAGCTGTTTCTGAAATGACTCGAGAAAAGCCACTTCGTTGATGTGAAAATCTTGCTAATGGTCAAAATGTCACGGCTTGATCTTTTTATGATCCTTAACCTTGATTAGTTTAGACGCTAATCACTTCATGCATGGCTATAATTAGCTGATCTTGAACTCCGGTTTTGTCTGAGATCAGGAACACTCTAACAGTCCTGCCCCGGCGTGTTTTTTTCTTTTTACTCACTACTGAACTTATGGCCCTTTTGTTTTTTTCTGCTGTGTGTAGCCAAACATTGCACTTACAAGGGTAATTGGGTCATCAAGAGACGGAGCAAGTCCAGAACCCACACAGGAGCCAGCTATAGGGCAAGTCCTTTCTCCACGAACCCACTTTTCCCGATATGTAATATGCTATTGTTATTTTTATACTTTCTCGCTTGTTTCCTTCTGTGTTTCCCTTTGTAGCAGGTGAGTCTGGAATCAACTGCGTGAAGGTGGTACAGATATTATCTCGTGAACAAAGCTCGCAAGGGCATCTAACGGAAAAAGTCTCATTAATCCTTTTTTTCTGCAAGTACTGTTTGGAGGAAGAAACAAGGGAACAAAAAAGCTCTGCAAGAATGGGAAAACTTGTGCATTTGTGACAGGGGAAGGAGACAACTGGTTGGTGGATTTTGATTTGTGGTTCTACATGTTGACCTAGTATCAGGGATGGTATGACTTGCAATTTATCACCTTTTCTTTCAAGGAAAGAGCAAAAACAAAAATGAACCAACGGTACAACTGTGGGGAGTTGACTTCTTTTTTCTTTCATTTTTTTTACTTTGGGGTTGGGATGGGGGTTTAACCTGTGTAGTGACTAGTAGTGTTTCTTGAAATTGTTCACTGATAATATACTTACTCATTTTCATTCTATGTATTTTTGTTCTATTGTAATGTGATCCTCCCATATAGTCATAGTAACTCCTTACCCTTGTGACCCTACAACTATGACAAAAACTAGTTTGGAAAAATTCCCAAAGTACAGTCTACTCATAATTTTGGTTGAATTTCTAGCCAGCCTTGCCTGTTCCATCCCGGTCATTGAAACAGAGTAGGATCTTTACCATTTTTCCTTGATGGTCAATACCCAATAGCTAGACTTAGGCAAGAACTGACCTAATTTTATTTAAACCCGAGATCCGATCCAAATATATTGGTTAAACAAAGGTTTCTTGACTGAATTTGAAATGACTCGCTAAAAATGGGTCAAACGTGATTGAACTCGAACTTGAGGGTCTTTTAGATCGAGTTACACGGTTACTGAGAAGAAATAAATTAATCCGAATACTAAGATTTCAATTTACACCCTTTCACAAAGAAAGAAAACAAACCACGAGGATTATATGAACTCTAATAAGTAGGTTGCTACAATACAATGAAGAATTGAGAGAATATAACAATATAAACTCTCGAATGCTCAAAACTAAAGCCTCCCGGGAGATGCGGCGGTCCCGGCAGGCGTGAGAATTATGCCTCCCAATGTGATGCCCGTGCACCCGAGGGACTCACTGCACGCCAGCTGGACGGGCTTCACGGTGTAGGTGCCCTTTATGCCCTGGAACGACACGTCGCTCACGTCCACGACCGACGTTTGGTTTGCACAGTGGTTTCCGTTTCCATCGCAGTAAAACTGATCTATCATGATGGCCGTCTTCACCGCCTGGCACTGAATGTTGGAGAACTTTACGCCGCTGACCGACCCCGATCCCCCATGCCAAGTCTTAATCCTGACGGCAGTCAAAGATGTTTTGATGGTGGAGTCGGTGACAGTGACGTTGGAGACGCAAGCTTTGAACTTGTCCTTTCCGAGGCCTCCGATGCTGATCCCGTGAGAAGGTCCACAGGTCACGCCGTTGATGTTCACGCCGCTGCATCCGGACTGTATGGAAATGCAGTCATCCCATGCATGCGTCGTCCATGCACGTGTAGTTCGGTTATAAGGATTCATAGAGTTGGGTCAATGTTGGAATAATAAATGTTTATATAAATTAAGTAAAAAATAGAAAATACCTCCATGAAACGGGGTAGCGTAGTCCGTTCGCCGTCCGGTGGTCTACCTCCGATCTTGATCCGGCGATCTCTTCTTTCTCTTCCTCCCTAGGTCTCTTTTGCAGGTTTTTTTGTTTCCGTAGGGATATGGGATGGGGGCGAAGGAGACGGATGGAGTAGCCTACTCCGTATACATTTAATTAAAAAAATTCGAGTAGAAACGTAGTAGCAAACTGAAGAAATTCCATATATTCGATAATGAAAGGTGTTTACAAGAGGTGAATATATAACATGGATTCCCGGGGCTATACATGGTAGGATCGTACTACATAAATATAATATTCACAAAAGGAAGCTAGATCATATTATAATATGGAAACTAAATCATAGTATTAATAATATTATATTAAATATAGTAAGTATATTTAACATGCTCCGTGCGGTCCGGGAGATGAAGAGCGTTTGCCAAGATTGTCTTTGAAATCCATAAATAAGAGAGAGGGAAGCCCTTTTGTGAATATATCTGCAAATTGGGACGAGGATGGAACATGTAAGACGCGAACCTGTCCAAGGGCCACTTTGTCTCTCACAAAATGTATGTTTACTTCGACATGTTTAGTGCGCTGGTGCTGTACTAGATTCGTCGAGAGATACCTTGCACTAATATTGTCATTAAACACAAGTGTAGCACGCTGGAGGGGGTGATGGAGCTCAAGAAGAAGATTCTGTATCGAGCTAGACTCTGCCACTGCATTTGCAACCGCACGGTACTCAGCTTCGGCGCTAGAACGAGAGGTGGTGGCCTGGCGCTTGGAGGACCAGGAGACTAAGTTATCCCCCAAGAAAACACCATACCCAGACGTAGACTTCCTGGTGTCTGGGCAGCCGGCCCAATCGGCATCCGAGTATGCCTGAAGCTGATGAGTCAAAGATTTGGTGAGAGTGATCCCATGGGCGGCTGTGCCGTGAGCCCGTGAAGATAGCGGAGAACCCGTTTTAAAGTTGTAAGATGGACGGATCTGGGATCATGAAGATAGAGGCAGAGTTGTTGCACCGCATATGTGATGTCCGGATGAGTGAAGGTCAGATACTATAGGGCCCAAACCAAGGAGCGATGGAGGGCAGGATCAGCGACCGGTGTACCTGCATTTGCGCTCAACTTGCCTTTTGTATCGACTAGTGTGGAAATAGGCTTGCAATTTGTCATTCCTGCGCGCTCAAGTATCTCATGAGTGAATTGCGTCTGATGGAGAAAGAGACCGCGAGCGGTAGGCTGAACATTCACTCCGAGAAAGAAATGTAGGTCCCCCATGTCTGTCATAGCAAATTCCCCTTTGAGATTTTTAATGAGCAGGTCAAGTAATGTTGTGCTGGATGCCGTGAGAACAGTGTTGTCGACATAGAGTAGAAGGTATGCCACGTCCAAGCCTTGATGATACATGAAGAGAGAAGTATCGGACTTGCACCCGCGAAACCCGAAAGACTGGATAAAGGTGGCAAATCGGAGATACCAAGAGCGTGGGGCCTGTTTCAGCTCATAGAGGGCTTTGTTCAGTTTGCAAAAAAAGTGCGGATGGGCGGGATCCTGGAATCCGGAGGGCTGGCAGACAGTCTTCTGAAGTGTATCGTGCAAAAAGGCATTCTTGACGTCTAGCTGATGAATATGCCATCCGCGGCTTAAAGCAAGACTGATTACAATTCGAATGGTGGCGGGTTTTACCGCGGGACTGAAAGTCTCATCATAGTCCACACCAAAACGCTGATTGAAACCACGAACAACCCAACGAGCCTTGTACCTGGACAGTTCACTTGTGGGACCAAGTTTGCGACAGAAAATCCATTTACCGGAGATAACATTTTGACTAGGGTGGGGAGGCACTAATTCCCATGTTTTGTTATTTACCAAAGCAATGTATTCTTCACACATAATGGCATGCCAGTTAGGATTCTTAAGTGCACTGCGGTAGGTTGGGGGGAGTGGAGATATTGTGGCTGTGGTGTTTAGGTTGAGAATTTGTTTAGGGCGGGAGATTCTGGCTTTGGCTCGGGCGATCATGGGGTGATTGTTGTGGATTGGGTTTGGGGGGGTGGGTTCTGACTGGGGGGTGGTAGAAGTGGATGGGGGTGTGGGGATCAAGGGAGTGTGACGGGGAGTGAGAGTGGTGGAGGCCGAGGGTGGAGTGGGGGCCGTGGGAGTTATTGGAAGGGGGAAGGAGTGTTTTGGTGGTGAGCGGGTTGAGTGGGTAGTGGTTTGAGGGGAGTATGTAAGTAATGAAGGTGTGAGGGTAGGCCGTCCTCCGCGGAGTCTAAAAAGGAGAGTTTTGTGCGAGAGAGAGCATGGGGGTAAGGAAAGACATATTCATCGAAGGTAACATGTCGGGAGATGATGATTTTGTTTGTGGTGAGATTGAGACAGTGAAACCCACGCTAGTTGACGGGGTACCCAAGGAAGATGCAGCAGATGAGCGGGTGCAAGTTTGTGAGGGGCCGTGAAAGAGAGATTTGGGTAACAGGAGCACCTAAAAACTCAAAGGTGAGAGTATGATGGGGAGTTGTTGTAGAGAACTGGATGGGAAATTTTGTATGGCACTGCAAGGAAAGTTATTTCTTACTTACCATGCCAGGAAGACAATTATTTTTTTTTACATATATTGGTCATTTGCTCTTTTCCCCATATCCAACTTCAGACCCATCCGTCCAACCTTACTCGTGTTTTTTCCTCAGATATTGACCCAACTCAGCAACAAGAAGAATGTTATCACGAATTAATCAGCCTGGTACAAAAGCTGAATGAGTATCTGAAACCACACCATGGAGTATCCGCTTCATACGGTTAGCCAGCACCTCCGCAATGATCATATAAACAATATTACACAGGTCAATCAGATAGAGATCCACAACCACCTTTGGAAACATTTTCATCGGGATAAGAACAATAGTGGTATCATAAACATTTGATAAAAAGCGGGGTTCATAAGATCATTGCGGAGGTGCTGGCTAACCGTATGAAGTGGATACTCCAGGGTGTGGTTTCAGATACTCATTCAGCTTTTGTACCATGCTGACTAATTCCTGATAACATTCTTTTTCTTGCTGAGTTGGGTCAATATCTGAGGAAAAAAACACGAGTAAGGTTGGACGGATGGGTCTAAAGTTGGATATGGGGAAAGGAGCAAATGATCGATATATGTAAAAAAATTAATTTTCTTCCTGGCAGGGTGAGTCAGAAATAACTTTCCTTGCAGTGCCATACAGAGTTCGCTACTCCATTTCTACTCGAATTTTTTTTAATTAAATGTATACGGAGTAGGCTACTCCGTCCCAATTAAAAATCCCATCTGTCTCCTTCAGCAGCGCCCCCATCCACCCATTCCCCATCCCATATCCCTGCGTCCCTGCGGAAACAAAAAAAAAACTGCAAAAGAGACCTATGGAGGAAGAGGAAAAAGAGACCGCCGGAGCAAGATCGGATGTAGACCACCGGTCGGCGAACGGACTACGCTACCCCGTTTCATGGAGGTATTTTCTATTTTTTACTTAATTTATATAAATATTTATTATTTGTTGGCAAATCAGTTAGCCGATCTCCTAATAAAAGCCCTTCCTTCTCTCGCTACAGAGCTCTGGTTTTCAAGCTTCCTCTCTTTTCAAGGCGTTCAGCTTGAGGGGCGTGTTAGACAATATATAACAATTGTATTATTTATGGCCGTATTAGTTATGGTAGACATCGTATATTAGTCAGCTTTTGTAATAGGTTGAGTCCTGATTATGTCACGATCTCTCCCTATATACACTCACGTATAATCTTGATTTTCTTGAGTGAAATCCCTAATTCAATATTCAACACAATAGATCAAATTTAATCCACTTTTTTTGCCTATTTTCTTAACTTATTTGATAATAAAAAATAGTCATGTCACTTCTAGTTTCGTAAATCTTTTGATGTAGTTTTTAGTACAAAGAGTAATTTGCATAGATGATCTCCAATTATATGCGGGTTTTTATATTTAGTCCTTGATTCTAAGGTATTACTGTATTACATAAATGATCCTCAATTTTTGAAAGCTACTCGATAAATAGTCATTTAGGGAAAACCAACTATAAGTTGGGACCATTTATGATATTTTCTCATATATTCATTTTATTTTTAAATTCTACACCAATTTTCCAATAAATTGAATTGAAAATAAATAACTTCAACGAAATATCTTTCGTTCCCTCTTTTCCTAGTTACTCTCTTTTTATTATTGAAAAAATTAATTTCCAAAACTTTTCAACTACTTTCAGTTTCTTTCAATTCCTTTAATTGTTTCCGCCGTTTTTCAGTTTCTTCCAACTTCTTTAGTTTCTATTATTTCCAACTTAAATCCTTCGAGTTTCTTCCAACAATGATTATAAAAAATGATTTTAGCCTATTTTTCATATTACTATTATTATTTAGATTATTATTATTAGTATTGTTATTATCACCAATTTCAATATATTAATACATAAAACAAATTGAAGTACTGGCCACAATTTATATAAAATTTATTTCATTTGGCCTCAAAACACATTTTAGTTACTACTATAAAGTCAACATAAAATATTGAAATATAAAATAAATTAATTTAATGCATATTTTTTAGGGATCCCTATATACTTTTAAGTTAGTTTTTCTTTTTCATATTGTATACGCACTGGTATAGTTGTTATTTTATAATTTAAAATATTGATATTTTTCCATGCAAAGTTAGATTAATAAAAAAATAGCTCTTTTATCCATAATTTGTCATATAAATTAATAAATAAAGTGTATTATTTATATAAAAAATTGAAGACAAAAAATAGTAATGAGCTAAGTGTGAATTGTAAAAATAGTGAAATGATAAAAAATAAAATAGATAAAGTGAAATAATTTATAAACTATAGTAGTTTTAATAATAATAAGAAGAATTATTATTATTATGATAATGTATTATTATTATAGAAGAATGATATGGATGGTTGTTTGGAATATTTAATTTTAATTGCTTATTTATTAATTAATAGTTAGTTAGTAGTTAGTATTTTATTATGATACGATTAGGGTTAGAAGTTGTATTGTTAGGGTTAGAGTTTTCTTCTATGTTCTATATATTGAGATGTAAATCAATAGTTGATGAGATATCAAGGAATAACATCAAAAGTTTTCATTCTCTCTTTTCTCTTGTGGTCGGAAACGCTCGAAGTTATCCTTCTCTTTTTGCCTCCCTTTTCTTAGAGTTCGAAGACGCTCGAAGTTCTTCCCTATGCGATACGATATTCGTATCAAAGGAATTGAAAAAAACTGGAAGGAACTCTCTTTTTGGAAGAACGTGGAAGGAATTAAGAAAAACTTGATAGAAAGGGAAAATTTTAAAAGAGCTAGAAAAAAAATAAAAAAAACTAGGATAAATTGGTCGTAATTGGTAAAAATGAAAGTTAAGAGTTTAAACTCAATCGAACACGCCCGAAAAATAGTGGAGTTTGAAAAAAATGAAAAAGCTGGGTGCAATATTTGGTTGGGGGCAATAACTTTAGACCCTTGGCCTGATAGTATTTATTCCAAAAAATAATTCCTTACCACTTATGTAACGAAACGTAAAAAAATTGAATCTCAAGAGTTAGAAGTTAAAAAATAAAGCATTGAAAAACTTAATAAAAGGAATACAAAATCGGCAAAATTTTATTGAATCCCGTGCGGCGCACGGTTTAAAATGCTAGCATATTATACGGAGTATGTAAGAGTTTAAAGACAATTTGGATTCACTTATTAAATACAGAGTACGTTATTAGATATATTAAAATAAAATTTGATTGTTTTTAATTTGATAAGTGAATATACCATGAAGATATATTATATACTTCTTTTACCCCTATTAATTTATACCCTCTCTTTCACATCATACTTTTTCACCCTTAACATCTATTCATCACATCTTACTTTTAACCATCACATCAAGAACAAAATTGGAGAGTTAACTGCAAATAATTAACCCTTCCTTTTTTGCCCAAATTCAACATATAGGAATTGTTTTCCTAAATAGAGATAGTATATATAAGAGTTTAAAAATAAATTGTATTAGGTTTTGGTGTGAAGCTATCTAAAGTAGATTATATTGAAAAATATATACTCCCTCCGCCCATAAAAACATGAGAGATTTTGATTTTTAAGAGATTACAAGAGAGTGAATTTTAGTGTTGAGTTTCCAAAAATATCTTTAGATGTGATGGGTATAAAGTAAGGTTGGATAGGTAGATTAATAGTGAATAGATATGATGCGATAGTTATGTTTAAAATTAGTACGTAGTGGTAAAAGTGACTTCTTGATATATAAATGAAAAGAAGTTTTTTTGAAAGGATAAAAAAAGAAAGGATAAAGATTTGACGGAGGGAGTATATATATTATACTCCCTCTGTCCCTTTAAACATGGGATGTTTTGATTTTGTAGAGATTTAAGGGGAGTATATTTTGGTATTGAATTTCCAAAAATGTCCTTTGATGTGATGAGTAAAAGTAGGATTTGATGGGTATATTATTAGTAAAAAGGTATGATGTGATAGGTAGGGTATGAAAAAATAAGGGATAAAAGTGCCTTTTTAATAGAAATAAGAAGTGTTTTTTGAGACAAATGAAAAAAGAAAGAAGAAAGGTTTTCAGGGACGGAGGGAGTATATAAGAGGTTAAGACATGGCATGAAGTAATTCAAAACAATATTATATATATATATATATATATATATATATATATATATATATATATATATATATATATATATATAGGTCAAGAAACATATAAACATATTGTCTGGTTATTTAACTTTGGTTGCTTGGGGGAGAAGAGGGCATAAAGAGAAAGTTTACCCATTTTTGTCAAAGGAGGTTCCCATGTAGTACTAAACCTGCACGATCCAGTATATATTATGTAGTTTTTTGCATGCTGTTACGTTGCCTGCAGGTCTCGGTCTCTATATATATATATGAAGGACCTGCATGCACAACTACCTTCACACTTAGTAACTCACAAAAACAACTTAATTACGAGTATATATTAATCCATCCAAAAAACATCATTAAGATATATAATAATTATATCATTTATATATATAAGATAATAATAATTAATATGGTGCATATAAAAGTTATTTTGTTGTTTCTCATTTCCTCGTCAACAATTCTTTGTTGCTCTCGTTCTGTCGCCGCCGCCCCCTTCAATGTCTTAACCTATGGTGCCAAAGGTGACGAGACAACCGACGACACTCAGGTAATTTTAATACTACCACTTTAGTCAAATCGTCCTTATCTTTATGGGACGGTATGGGACGGAGGGAGTATAATAAATGCATCTGTGTGTGTATAGGCATTTGAAAAGGCGTGGGCAGATGCGTGTAAAGCAGAGGGATCCACATTGTTGGTACCGTCGGGGCATAAGTTCCTCGTGGGCCAGATCTCATTAGTAGGCCCATGCAAAACAAATATGATATTCCAGGTAATTTATATTTGTATCTTTACTGTGAAAATATGAAAATGGTGCATTTTTAAACCGTCTTAATGCATTTTACACTTGTAGTAGTACTTTTTGGAGAAGTTCAATTTATTCACCAAATCGCCACCGCGATTTTAAGATCTTCAATCTAATGAGTCGTCATATGCATTCTCATATGTGCATTATTGACTTGGGGTTGCATAATACAATTATAAACTATAGTAACTAATAATATTATTAATAAAAAAAAATGTATGTGTATATAATGTATATATAATGTATGTAGCTTGATGGGCAAATCAGCGCTCCAAGTGTAACCTCAAAGACATGGGGAGCTGGAGGCACCCTTCAATGGCTGGAGTTCAAAAACCTGAATGGATTTACAATCACTGGCCAAGGAACCATTGATGGGAAGGGCTCTGGCTGGTGGTCTTCTTCTTCTTCTAAATCATCATCAAACTCTCTACTCATGAAGGACGACGACGACCACATTAATTATAATAATATCTCTTTCGGGGGTCTTAAAATTCCAAGCACTAAGCCAACTGTAAGTTCATTCAATTCCTCGGTTCGATATATATATATATATATTCGAACCTCATCGTCATAATGTTTAAAGGTTTAAAAAAATAAATAAATTAAAGGTTTAACTTCACGTGCATGCATGGATGCTGCAGGCATTACGATTCTACGGATCTCAAGGAGTCACGGTAACTGGAATCCAATTCATCAATAGCCCAAAGGCCCACCTCAAGTTTGATAGTTGTACCAACGTCGCGGTGAACAAGGTTAAAATTACGTCTCCCGAGACCAGTCCCAACACAGACGGAATTCACTTGCAGAACACCAAGGGCGTCACCATTCAAGGCTCAACCATCGCTTGCGGTATGCGCATGCATGCATGCAGTTTTTTTTGTTGTGAAATTTGCATTGAATAGGACTAAAACATAAGTCATTTTTCAATGCAGGAATTAAACTTTTTTATTTTCTAAATAGGGCTTAATAATGTCTAGTGAGAAGAATAATGCTCAAGTGATGTTGGACATTTATTAGTTGAATAATGACTAATAGATAATGACCAATGGTCCTACATTGGGAAATAAAAACATATGCTCCTAGATTGAGAAAGTCGTTATGTTTTAGTCCTATTTAAGTAAATTACTTTTTTTCTACGTAATTCTTTTTTAATTTCTTCCAACATCGACCCAACTATGTGAATCCTTATAATTAACTGAAAAAAGAACTACACGTGCATGGACGACGCATGCAGGGGATGACTGCATTTCCATACAGTCCGGATGCAGCGGCGTGAACATCAACGGCGTGACCTGTGGACCTTCTCACGGGATCAGCATCGGAGGCCTCGGAAAGGACAAGTCCAAAGCTTGCGTCTCCAACGTCACCGTCACCGACTCCACCATCAAAACGTCTTTGACTGCCGTCAGGATCAAGACTTGGCAGGGGGGATCGGGGTCAGTCAGCGGCGTCAAGTTCTCCAACATTCAGTGCCAGGCGGTGAAGACGGCGATCATGATAGATCAGTTTTACTGCGACGGAAACGGAAACCATTGTGCGAACCAAACATCGGCCGTGGATGTGAGCGACGTGTCGTTCCAGGGCATAAAGGGCACCTACACCGTGAAGCCCGTCCAGCTAGCGTGCAGTGAGTCCCTCGGGTGCACGGGCATCACATTGGGAGGCATAAATCTCACGCCTGCCGGGACCGCCGCGTCTCCTCCGTCGTGCCTTGACACGTACGGGCAAGTCACCGGGGCCACTACCCCGCCCATCAATTGCCTCAAGACCGGAAAGCAACCTAAGAAGAATGCTGCAACATGCTAATTATGTTATACACATTATTACTCTTCTTAGACTATTGATTGCGTGCAATTATGGATCTAAGCTCTATCAATTCAATAACCTAATAAAATAGTATACTTTAAAGGTACTATATATGTGTGTATTATTTCATACTTTTAATAATAATGATCATATATGTTACTTTTATAGATATATGGATATGGATAGATCAAAGGCAATTCCTTCGGTGCACCTCTCAAATAGAGTGTTTAGAAACACTCCCAACTTGTACTAATAAGAAGCAGACATGTGGCATCTTTTGCCATGTCATTAATTATTTTCGATTTTGGTCTCAGGGACCTTTTTGCAATTCTAAACAACCCTCTCCGTCTAACTCGGATTTCTTTTCATCCTACCTATACGCCGTTTCATCCATCCCTCCCTCCACTCAATCGGCATTTACCCAGATTCTTGGTTATTGTGGCATGATTTATTCTTTTATAAAATGGTGTAGGTATCGTTCTTTTAGTTTGATTTTTAATTCTGCAAAAAGCAATGTAAAATTTTTACATTAACCAAATCAAAATTCCCAAAAAGAAATCGAATCCTTATTCCGCCAAAGAAACTCGATCAAAGTTTAAACTTTAAAAAAGGGCTAATCTATACATCTATACATTATTTAAAAAGACATAAATTTTTTCCCGCTCATGTATGACACTCATATATGGAAAGTGTTGACAACATAAATGGTAGTTTAATTTTTTTACCTTAATGTTTTCCTTCCATTTTAAGTATGTTTTCATTTTTATTTTTATTTAAATGTTACACCATTTAAGCATTTAAATTAAATTAAACTAAATAGTGGTGAACCATTGGGGAATTGAAGTATGGAAATAAAATACACTGCCATTTAAATATTAAAATAAAATTTAAAAATTACAAATTAATAAAGTATGGACATGATTAAAATGATTTATTTCAAACAAACTACGAATTAATTATTTATCATTAAAAAATATTATAATTTACAAGCATGGTAACGTGTAAAAATGGTAAGTTTTCTAAAATAGATTAGAAAATAAATATGGTACGATTAGTAGCTGATAACATTTAAATAAAAGAATAAAATAAAAAACTACAAATTAATATTAATACTATAATCTAACAAAATGGAAAGGTTTTATAAATGACAAATGTTCTAATTAGAAAATAAATAGATATGGCATGGTAAGCAATTAGCACCACTTAAAAACGAAAATAAAATAAATGGTAAGTTTTCAAAAATAAATTATGTCAGTGTTCTAAAATAAAAGAGAAAATAAAATATTTCATCCGTCCCCAATTTGATTACAAATTGCGGATTACGGAGTAAAATTTCTTACTTTTTGAAATCATTTTAATTATTTACAAATTGATATATCAATAAGATATAAAAATTACATATTAAACAACTACGTCAAAAGTTCTACAAAACAAGAAGTGATAAAAATATTTTATTTTATCAAATACTTAATAAAATCGCGTAAACAAACAAAAGTTATCGAGAGAAGAGAGAGAAAGATTGTAATATATTTAAGACAGAGAAAGTACATCTAAAAATAATAAGTGTTCTAAAATAAATTAGAAAATAATGTGGTTTGGTAAGTAATTAGTACGATTTAAATACGAAAATAAAATAAAAAATTGCAAAATTAATATTAATGCTATACTTTAAAAACATGATTTTTTTTAAAAAAAGGTAAGTGTTAAAATTAGAAAATTAGAAAATAAATACGGAATGGTATGTCACCACGATAAGCAAATGGTACCATTTAAACACAAAATAAAATAAATGGTAAGTGTTCTAAAATAAATTAGATAAGTGTTCTTAATAAATTAGAAAATAAAATAATTATTAAAATGATAAGTATTCTAAAATATATTAGAAATAAATATGGTACGGTAAGTAAATGATACTCACCATTTAAATAAAAAAAATAGAAACTACAAAATAATACTATCAATTAATACTACTCTCTCCGTCTGAAAAAAGTGTTCCTATTTTGACTTTGTGTAAAAATAAGGAAATATTAAATTGTAGTTGACTTCCAATTTTACCCTTGATGTGATAGGTAAAGTAAGATGTGATTGATAGATTATTAGAGATAAAGTATGATGTGATTGGTAAGGTATGAAAAAGTAATGGTAAAAGTGGTTTTTTAATAGAAAGTGGAAGTGTTTTGTTGGAAGTGAAAAAAATGAAAGAGGAAGTGTTTTAAAAAACGGAGTGAGTACAATTTACAAGAATGGTAACCTGTAAAAATGGTATGTGTTATGAAATAAATTAAAAAATAAATATGGTACATTAAGCAAATGGCATAATTTAAATGCAAAAATTAAAAAATTATAAATTAATACTATTAATACTATAAGCATCGAAACATGTAACAATGGTATAAGTATTCTAAAATAAATAATATTAATACTATAATTTACAAACATGGATACGTGTAAAAAAATAGAAAATAAATATCATAGGGTAAGTTAATGGTACCACTTAAATACGAAAATAAAATTTAAAAAATACAAATTCCAAAATAAATATATTAATATGTTGAATTATTGCTTAGATAAGTCAAATTATTGATTTTTTGTCAAGAGCAATATTTGAAACATATTGAATTATTTTTACGGAAACTGGTATTTAGTCATGAGAAAGTGTATGTTACAATTTAAAGAGTAATAAATCGCAATGGCTTGAAGATTCTGATATACAACGAAGTAAATACTCACACAAATTATACATACGAGTGATGTAGTTTATAAATAAGTCTTTCAAAATTTGTAAATCATTTTTACTTTTGTACTTTAAAATAATGAAATCTCTATATTCCATTATATACCAATTTATATTCCTAAAAATAATCTTAAGTTAGTACCGTAACTATGACCCGTGCAACGCATTGGTGTGATACTAGTAGCATAAGCGCCCCCATAAGCGCCCCCGTGGTTTACAAAAAGGGGGTCAAAGCCCCCTATATTTTCAAAAGTTATTTGTAAAGTCTCTATAGTTTCTAAATAGAGCACACATGCCCCGCTTACCTATTTTTAAAGCAAAAATGACATTTATGCCCTTTTTTTCTCGATCTTGAATTTTCCCAATGTTATTCTCTTTTATTATACAAATATTTAAAATAAAATATACGTTGCACATCTCAAATTAAAATTTTCCATAATGTATTTTTGAAAACAAAAGATTTCTTTGGAGAATGTAACAAAAGAAAATGAAAAATAAATTATTATGTACAAAGTAAAAATTATAATTGAAAAAAGGTAATGAAAAGAAAGAAAATTATAAAAAATAGTCTTTTTCTTTAACTCTGTATTTAATTTAATCTCTCTGTTCTTCATTTTTTAAAGTTCTTAAAAATTTATATTACTTTTTTTAAAAAAAAAAGTTAGAATGTTTAATTAGAGATAGAGTGAGTATATGCTATCTAATTTTTTATTTTATTTATTTTACTTTTATTTTTAATGAAAAAGTATATTTTATTTCATTTTTCATTTTCTTTTATAAGATTTTCTCAAAAAATTATTTTTTTTTGAAAATAAAATAAATGAAAATTTTTAATTTGAGAAAGAGAGCGTATATTTTATTTTATTTATTTGTATAACAAAAAATGAAAATAAAAGAGTGAGACTAAAAGATAGAGAAAAACAAAGGATATTAATGTCATTTTATATCTTAAAAAAGGCAAGAGGGCGTCTGTGCACTATTTAAAAACCACAAGGATTTTACAAATAACTTTTGAAAGTAGGAGGGCACATGAAAATAATGGGAGAAGAAGGAGGGTCATGCTACACTTACACCACAAATTATACCTCATTTGTACACCAGAGTAATACACAAACATTTTGATGGTTTACACCGACATAAGTGTTGGTGTGTTAACAAAAAATTTACATAGACACAAAGTGATGGTGCATTAACAAAAATTAGTTTTACACCAACACAAGATATTGGTGCAAACATGCGGGGTACAAAGTGGAGTACAAAAATTGGGGTACAAATAGCTTTATCCGAAGAAGAAATACTAGACTAGAGGGAGAGAATATTTTTGACGTTCTAGATGCAAACGATAAAAATTGCTGAGAGGTACTTTGACCAAACACCGACGATTGGGAGAAGATGTGCAGTGGCCATGGTAAGCTCGAGAGAAAGAGAGAGTGAGAGACGGAGGAAACGGAGATCGACGGAAAGAACAAGAATTAGGGATTCGTACAGATTTGCTACTAGGCCCCTTGGACTAAACAGCAAAAATAATAATACCTTGGCTTCATTCAAATGATGTGGCAGAAGGCCACGCGTCTGTTTCTTATTGGGACAACTAGAGAGCGTTTTGAAACACTCTATTCTAAAGGTGCACTAAAGGAATCGCCAAAATAAATTATAAGTATATTCTCTTAGTTATCCATTGTTAATCATATTCGACAAATCAAGATAGAATTGGTGGAGTTTAAATAGCATATTATGAAAAACTAAAGAAATTACATTCCCTCTGTAAACAGCTTTTAAATTTTATAATGTTTGACTTAAATTATATTTCAATTCAATTTTTATGAGAACTAAGGTGAAATTAAAATAAGATAATTTAAATATTTAAGAAATTACGTCAAAATAAAGTTGTTCAAAACAAGATATGACATGACTATTTTATTTTATCAACAGGTTTTAAATATAGGTAAGAAAGGTAAATAGATTTTGGCCCTATCAATAATACACACTAGTTTGTTGAGTGCAAAATAAGTGTATTATCTCTCAACAAATTAAAAGTCTTAATTAATCGCGTTTAAAGACAATTTTAAAAATTAAAACTTTTTATAAGGATGAATTAAACAAACAAATATTGCATAGATTATAAGAGCATGTTTTCTTCAACTTACTCTTTTTGGAGTCAGTTCAAAACATATCAAAATCAATTAGATCAGGTGCAAAGAACAAAAACTTAAAACATTAGATGCATGACTAAAAACATACTTCACGGATAAATATTTTTATTTTTTTATAAAATATTCATAAATATTTATTTCATATATACAATAGAGAGATAAAATATATATTTTCCTTATTTGAGTACTTTGATTACACAAATCCCAACCATCT